TATATATATATATATATATATATATATTCCGTGAGCCTCCGTTTCTGTGGTTCCTTCGCATCCATACCCGCCAAACCCTAAACCCTAAACCCTAAACCCTAAACCCTAAACCCCAAACCCTGAACGGACCAAGTGGAAAGTGTTGAGGGTCATTTGGGTTGCGGGTTCTCCAATTGACTGGGCCGCAATTACCCCGACAGCCTCTCCTGGCTGCATGCAGCGGCGGTGATATGCAACACGCAGCAGCAATTCAAGCTCTTCTGCTGCTAAACCCGATCTATAATCCTGCTGCTGCTGCTGCTGCTGCTGTTGCTGCTGCTGCTTCTTCTTGCTTGTACTGGAATGAGAAAGCCACCGGCGGGTGCGCGCGTAATCTTCACACGCAGAAGCCACCACCTGATCACAACAAACCCTAAACCCTAAACCCTAAACCCTAAACCCTAAACCCTAAGCCCTCAATGCTGCACTGGCTGGAACAGCGACGTCTTCAGGAAGCAGTTTTGGGGCAGGCCGCACTTAGGGCGCGTAAACCCTAAACCCTAAACCCTAAACCCTAAACCCTAAACCCTAAAACCTAAACCCTAGACTCTCAATTCTCCGCCCTAGGCCCTCCCTCTGCCCTGACCTGTAAACCCTAAACCCTAGACCCTAAACCCTAAACCCTTGTTACCTCTCTAAGCTTCTGTTCGAATAAGTAGTTGGTAGCCCCGATAGCAGAGAGAGGAGAGTTGAAAGGCTGCGCTTCCATGGTCTTTAAATATTTTAGCATTTGTTTGTTTTTATCTTTTGCTGTTGTTGCTTGCTCTTCTTTTTCTTGTGTGAATTTAACAGAAGAATATGCAGAGACGTTGCGGTGTATGCACATCTCAACTTGAGGAGGGGGTTTATTTAACCACTTCAATAAATATGGGTTTCCTGTAAGAAGTCTGCAACAAAACAATTAAAAATAAATAAATAAAAATTAATCTGCTTCTTTTATATATCAATAAAGACACAGCTGCATGCATGTACACTCCAATTCAAACAAAGAAACAAGCAAAGCGTATAAAAATAATAATAATAATAATTAATAATAATAATAATAATAATAATAATATGTATAGTAATATTTCTTCGTTATTTTATTTGTTTATTATTATTATCAATAAAAACAAACAAATAAATAATAAAGAAATAAACACAAAGTTTATAACAAACAAACAAATAAACAAATATATAAACAAAGCCACAAACAAACAAACAAATATGAACAAATAAAGAGAGAAACAAACAAACAAATAAACATATAAACATATATAAACATATATAAACATATATAAACATATATAAACATATATAAACATATATATATATATATAAACATATATATATATATATATATAAACATATATATATATATATATATAAGCAAATGCTAATGATACAATTAAATTAACGAGCAAATAACAATAAAACAAAGTAAATAAAGCAATGCAAACTAAACTAAAATAAGTTAAAGACTTATAAAATAAAACAAAGATAAACATAATAAATAACAAAAGCAATAATTGCATATATAATACAGCATCTGCATGTCCAGGGTCTAAACAAAGCATGAAAATAAATATAAAAACAAAACAAACAAGCCAAAACAAAACAAAACAAAACAAAGAGAAGTAAAATATAATAGAATAAAGATATATATATAATATATACAATATATAATATATATATATAATGTCTTACTGCATATTTGATAAAGCATTTGCATGCACCGGGTCTAAGCCATCGTCCCCGTAAACAAACTGTAAAATGCTGCCGTCTGTATCTCTTACAGATCCATCATATGCTATATGCAAACTCTCTAAAGATTTTATTAAAGAGCGTTGTAAATAACCCGACCTAAATAAACAATAAATAAACAATTAAACAAACAAAGACAGAAAAAACATACGCTATTTAATGATGTATTATTCATGTATAAATATTGACACAACCAACAGCAGTAGCAGCAGCAGCAGCAGAAGCAGCAGAAGCAGCAGCAGCAGCAGCAGCAGCATCAGGAGTAGCAGCAGTAGCAAACATGTGGATCTGCTGCTGGTGCTGCATCAACATAAACGTGCTGAGGTGTATGTACACCGCACTTGGCTGTCTTCACCGCCGTATCAATCAAACCCTCTCGCCCAGCCATGCAGTGAAAATAAAACTCCTCTTCTCTTAATCCTGCAGCAGCAGCAGCAGCAGCAGCAGCAGCAGCGACAGCAGCACCGGAAGCAGAAGTAGAAGCAGAAGCAGCAGAAGTAGCAGAAGCAGCAGCAGAGGCAGCAGGAAAAGCAGCAGCAGCAGCAAAACCAGAAGCAGAAGTAGCAGCAGAAGCATCAGCAGCAGCAGCAGCAGCAGCAGACGTAGCAGCAGAAGCAGCAGCAGCAAGGTCATGGGTTTTTGACTTCATTCAAAACCGTCAAACCAGCGCACCCCTAACCATAACCCTTCGTTCTGCAGAGAGGTCTTAGGGTTTAGGGTTATTAAGGGTTTAGGGTTTAGGGTTATTAAGGGTTTAGGGTTTAGGGTTTAGGGTTTACCTGTAAGAAAAGAAGAAAGCACAAACCCTCTAGCCAAACTACCAAAGTCTGCTGGGGCGAAGGCAGGAAGAGACTTCCCGCTGCTCATCGGCTGTACGCGGCGACCCTCCAAAGACTGCTGCCCTGCACCCAAACCCTAAACCCTAAACCCTAAACCCTAAACCCTAAACCCTAACCTCATATCCCTAAACCCTGAACCATTAGCCTTATGTAATAATACAAAAACAAGCAAACCAGCAAACAAACAAAACGAACAAGACAAACAAATAAATAAATAAATAAATAAATAAATAAACATAACAAACAAAACAAACAAACAAACAAACAGACAAAACAAACAAATAAACAAATAAATAAATAAGCAAAACAAACAAAACAAACAGACAAAACAAACAAACAAATAAATAAATAAATAAATAAATAAATAAATAAATAAAAGACAGACATACCGAGGAATACACAAATCATCGCGTAGTTTACGTTGCTGCCCTTCGCCCCCGTTTTTATCATCGAAGCAAATCCATTACGAGGGAACCGATATAAAAAACTCCTAAACAGCAGCAGCAGCAGCAGCAGCAGCAGGACGAGCAGCAGCATCAGCAGCAGTAGCAGCAGCAGCAGGACGAGCAGCAGCAGCAGCAGCAGTAGCAGCAGCAGGATGAGCAGCAGCAGCAGCATCGACAGCAGCAGCATCAACAGCAGCATCATCGTCAGGAGCAGCATCAACAGCAGCAGAATCATCATCATCATCATCAGCAGCAGCAGCAGCAGCAGGAGCAGGAGCAGCAGCAGCAGCAGGAGCAGCAGCAGCAGCAGCAGCAAACCTTCCGCTCATGATTTCGGTGGACTGCGACGACACTTTTGACAAAAACGTCATAAAAAATTTGTCGAGTAATTCGTCAAACTCCGCCAAACGCCCTTTAAACGATTTCTCTAACAATACTCGCAGACGCTCCTGTTCAAGCAATTATAATAAATATATATAATATATAATATATATAATATATATATATTATATAGATATATATATATATAGGTTTATTTTATTTATATGCTGTGTATATATTCTCTAACAATACTCGCA